AACCTTTGGTATTCTTAGCCTGAGTCTGCTGTAGGTATCTGGTCAGAATAGAGTGAAAACTTCATTTGGGGATAGCTGCACAAGTATGATTCCCATGGAGTGTGAAGCTTTGTTATTAGTTCTCTATGTCCTCTCATGTACCCAGAAGGCAGGTGTGGCAGGCAAGGCTTATGTCTGTCTAATTCCCTGCTCCAGTGACCAGCTTAGGGAGCTTTTGTTGTTGGCTTCTCCCCTTCCAGTTCAAATACAGTGCTAGAATTGATGGGTTACAGTCAAGGATTGTATCCTATCAGCTTAAGTCACAATATTGAAAACAAATTCTTTATATTGCACTTAAAAGAAGAAGGTTCTTAAAAGCAGTATTTGCTTAAAGTCACTTTCATTCTTGTGACCTTGGGTAAGTCACTTAACCTTACTTCTCAGCATTCTTGAAAGAGCCTCGTCGGGCTTTATGAAGAGTCTTGAACAAATTTGTTTTTAGAAAATAACAGCTGACACCTGGAAGTGAAGTGGCACCCCCAGTTGGCTATTTATACAAGAAGACAGGTTAGAGGTCACTTTTAGCTACGTAGAATTCTTCTTTTTCTTCTGACCTCTTAGTCCAAATAGGTAGTTTGTTTCCTGGAAATCTACTAGTTAATGAAAACTCCTTGGGAGTAAATCATTTTAAATTGGCAGTTGTTCTGGCATCCCAAGCTGGGGAGAGGCTCTGTTCCCACTCTTTCAACGAGGAATCAGCTGTGGTCCTGACCTGTTTATTTGGAGGTAAACTCAGCCTCGCCAAGCATACAAGGACTGGGAACCACACAGCTTCGCTGTGGCACTGTAGTCTGTGCCTCGGCCAGGTACACCCTTACTCATCTGGGAAGCTTCTTTCTTCAGTTTTTCTGCAGTGCTCTTCCCTTAGCTAATGTGCTGGTTGTAGTTGTATTTTGTGTAGACACTAATTAGAGAGCCTTTAACATTGGGGCCCAGAGGCTTACTGACAATGCAACTGTCATCCTCGTGTCTTAATTGGTTCAGTGTAACTGTCATTAAGTAGTGATAAAAACATCTGGAGCTCTGGAGAAGAGTCAGCCCTTTTTCCTACCTCTCTTCCGTGTCTGTCTTTGCTCATCCTCACCAGCGTTAAGGTCTTTTGGATCCCAGTTAGGCGTTGGTCCAGGTACCTGTGCCCTAACCAGTGCTCCACTATTGTGAAGATGGCTGTGTCTTCAGGGTGAGTTCACAAGATGACTTCTTTTGCCCTTGTGAGGCTTGAGAGCCTGTGGCCAAGTCATGGTGAGCATCTGCTGGAATATGGAGTTTGTTCTGTGTTTCTATCAACAGAGCAGACATAGAGCCTTTGTATTGTGTCCCCAAGTCTTTGTTTTTCCAGCACTATATTGGGATTAAACTCAGGGTGTTCACACTGAGATATGCTCCTAGCCCTCTTTACAGCAAAACATTTATGTGATTCTTGATGCTCTTTGGCCTTGAAGAATAGAGTGTATTTACATGGATATGTATGGAAAAATTCATGTTTACCAAAACAATAGGGTTTAAACCATATATAGATAATTATTTTTTGGCAGTGGGTATGAAACTGAGGACCTTATATATGCTAGGCAAGCTTCCTACCACTGAGGCATCCCAGCCCTAGAGCTATATCATAAACAGTTTGGATGAAGAAAGTCTAATGGTGTATCAGTGTGTGCATTTAGGGTGTTTAATCATTAGCTGCAGAAGACAGGCAGTGGAAACAGGTGATTTTATAGCCAATCGGGTTGTAGTCTGTGGGCAGCCCTTTCCAGCTACTATTTTTTAGCACTGGCTGTAATGGAGGCTATGGCACTGTGATGGGACTTCACAGTCAGGTGAGGGAGACAGGTCTATACATCTGAAATGTGGCCACACACACTGTTTCTTCAGATCCAGGCTGAGAGGCCCTCATGGAGAAGGGCATGGGCTCGATTTTAGGTTGGTTAGATTGGACTAGGCCGGTGGACCTCAGTTAGCTGCACATGGAAACCGTTCATGACTGGTCCCATTCTCAAGTCGGAGTAAGCTGTGCTGTGCTGTACTTGGTACTGAGCGACTCTGCTCTGGATTGGGTCCTGAGGTGGGAAAGCTCTCTGGGCAGGTGGACAGTGGAGCTGAGGCTCATAGACAGGAGTGCTTTGAAGCTTTCTTGGAGGCCAGCTCATGTGAGGAGAGTAAAGGATGTGCTGGGGAGAAGGGTGGGAGGTGGTTTGTGAAGAATTTGCAGTAGGTCCTATAATCTGAGCTTCATTCAGTAAGGATGTAGAGAAGGGACTTCAGAGGCTTTCTAATGTCAAGCATATTTCCATTTTGACTCTTGGAATCCTTAGTTACACAGCCGTGTGCAAGACCTACCCCCTGACCCCAGCTGCTTACAGGTGAGCAGAGAGAAGAAAAGCTAGGTAATCATCACATAATTGCTGGAAGAGAAATGGCCCGGCTGCTAGCAAGATGGCTCACAGTTGGTACATGGTCTAGCACAGAGTGAGGAAGAAAGGCAGTGTTCCCAGAAGAATGACTTACAAACTCAGGTGTTTTAGGGGCCAGGCAGGACATACACAGGGCTGATTGCTGGTGGAGGCTGCTCGGGAGCAGGAAGACTCCTCTCGTAGGTAGGAGTATTGAAGGATTTAGACTAAGGCAGGATCTGTGGGGATGAGAAGAGCAGAAAGAGCTTGGTGATGGTACATGGTGGCGAAGAAGGTACTGACTGAAGGGACGCTTTTGTCTTTGTACCAGTAACCTGGGACTGATGATACCACTGACAAAAGGAAGGAGTTTAGGAACAGGCGAGCATGGCAGTGAGCTGAAAGTTTTGGAGGTGCACATGCATTTTCGATATGCAGGGTTACAGTGTGATGAAGCAACCCCATCAGGGAACAAAAGGCTCATCCATCACCTTTTAGATGCTGCCACGTTCATGACAGGTTCGTAATTTGTGTGCCTCACTGCTGGGCAGCTGAACCGCTGGTGGTTCATGAATGACTGTCCCATGCCACCTAATGGTGGTTCAGGCACGTTGGAACATGTTAATAGAGCACTGGTCTCTGGATTATCTGCCCTCCTCTCTCTCTTTCTCCTTAAGTGAGAAGTTATCATTAGCTTGTATCTCATAGTTCACTTCTATCTGGTTTGGAAGTTAAAGCATTTCCCCGATTTGTGGTTTTTGTTGTAGCTTGCACTCAGAGCCCTTTGTGCAGAGCGAGTCTGGGGCTAGATCTTGCTGCACCAAAATTCTGACTCTATACTCCAGTCCCTCCAGTGTGGCCCCAAGGGAGTGGTAGGAAGAACACGGGTGTGCAGTAGTATGTACTTGGTAAGAAATAGAACACATATCCTGTTTGTGTACTTTCTCACATCCGTTAGCTCTCTCATCTCCTAAATTTTCTTTTTCTTTCTTTCACTTACCTTTCTGTGTATTTCTGAAAGACATATACAGAAAACTGCTGTCATTTGTAGTTTTCTTTTCTGAGTAAGCTGGTTCCATTCACTTAGAATTTAACCATACAAATATAGTCACACAGCCTAGGAATTCAGATGCTGAGCATCTCTAGCTAAGCAAGCGGTCTTATTCCAGGACAGCGTGAGTCATTTTTGGCGTATCAGGTTGAGCCCAATGGTTTTGGTGCAGCAGGGTAAGGTGTGTGTTCTTGTGTGGGCTTCTTTCTCACTGAAGAGGCTGATTCAGATCCAGTCCCCAGAGCCTGGGAGCCAGGGCCATGTCAGCATCTGCCCTTGCCAGTGAATTACCAGCCACGAGGACACTCATGGTAGGCACTGCATTTACAGGAAGATCAGGGTCAAACAGAGGGGCAGCAGCACACCAGCAAACAACACGTCTCTCCTGTTAAGTCTGTATATCCTGTGTGCCCTCCGGACCTATCCTGCAGGTGAAAAGCCAAGTCCCCAAGCTTGGAAATTCATGTGACAGGGTGACCTGTGGATGATGTGGTGCATACATTTACTGTAGATTATCATTTGGGGAGAGTTCTTCTACAGCTAATACATGAAGCACTCCAGAATCAAAGCATTTTTAGTTTCTTTGTTAAGAAATCTCACTAAAGATTGATCTCCTCTAGCTGCTTCATACATGTATTATGTCAGTGATTACCTATGTCTCAGACCTTATCTTGCTCACTTCTACCATAAAACACTACAAGAGCCATGAATAGGACCTCAGGACAACTGTAAACCTCCCCAGGATCCCCTGCCTGTCCTTGTGGTGCAGGCTCATCTCCAGACCCGCTTCCCCCAAGTGCTTTATCAACCTTTGTAACAGACATAAGGAGCTTAGCTTAAATGCCTCAGTGGCAAGCAACACCGGCCTCATCTTCTGGCTATCCTGTTGTCCTGGGGCGCCTTGCTTAGCTTGGATGGAGAGTCACTTGTGGGAGCAACAGAAAAAGAGCAGAATGAGTACTCCTCTCTTCTCAGTAGGTAGAACCGGAGAGTGCCATGCATTTCGGCAAGAGCACTTTCTGGCTGTTGAAGGCAAGATCTAATTGTTTCAGTGAATCAGTTAGTCTTTAGGGACTTTAATCAGTCAGATCTGATGCATGGATGAGGTATGAGAAAGCTTGCGCCTGTACGCCTTGAGTTCTCAACGTCGTCTCTGTCTTCCATGTGGTGTTTGTGTGCGGATGCTGTTGCTTAGGCGCTTTTTGTTAGTGATCTCTTTAGTGAGAGAATTTAAGGTAACAGATTAGTCTTACCAGTGTAAAAGGGAAAGCAAGGAACTTTTGGTGCTCAATATCTTACTATAATTTTCCTGTTTGAAATCGTCACCATTGTGCTGAGAGAATGTGAGGCATGTTCAGAGCTTTTGGAATCTAGTTGACATTTTCCCCTTTTGGAGTCACTCATCAAAACAGTACCATAAGGGTGATTCCTCCCCAAGATCTCACTCTACTGCTGTTTCAGTGCCCTGCTCATTTTCTCTTCCGTCCCTTTTTGGAACCAAGTGTGTCCTTGTTTTCCAGATATACATCAGGAGACGTGCGGGTGTGGGACACCCGCACCTGGGACTATGTGGCCCCCTTCCTGGAATCCGAGTATGAGGAGGATGAGCCTGGAATGCAGCCATACGTCTCCTTTGTGAGGATAAACAGCTCGCTGGCGGTAGCAGCTTATGAGGATGGTAAGTTACTGCAGCCCTCCTCTCTATTAAGAAAAAAAGCTTTACAAAAAATTAAGCAGCTGTGCCCAGCTTTCCCCTGTAATCCCTCCATACATACACGTGGGCACACACACACACATGTTCACACACATACAGTCACTCCTGCCTTTATGTGAAGAAATTGGCCAGTAACCCTCAGTGCATTAGTAGGCATTGGAACACAGTACCCATTAAAACTGGTGTTTAATTCCTACTGGAACTGTCAGGCTGGGTGTTAGTGCCAGACACGGCAGGGCTGGCCAAGCCATCTTAAGCAAATAACTTGTTTGGTGTAAAATATTAAATATAGTTGGCCTAATTTTCCCTTAGCCTCTGCACTGTCCAAAAGGGATAGTGATAATGGGATAGATGTAGATAATTTATTGACTAAAATAGAAATAGAAAAATAAAAAGTCAGTGCCTGGCACTTAGATACCATACAAGACGTTTAGTGGCAGTATGTTGTCTCTGTGGCCCTGAGAGGATTCCTTTGAGTGTGAGCAGCTGCAGGTTTACAGAACTAGGTAAAAATAGTCTAAAGTTAGTTGCACGGAAGTAATGTTGACAGTTAACAGTTTATAGTCAATAGAAATAACCATTTCAGTGGCAATGCTACCCTATTTTCCTACCACTCGTATTACTAACTTTGATTATGTTGGGAAGTTTGAATCTCCAAAAACTTTGTTGCCTCTCTGGCCTAAACAGTCAGACCACAGTGTATTTCAGAATGTCAGTGTTCATGTCATGGCACAGGTGCCAGATTCTGATGGGGTTCAGTGGGACAAAGCTGAAGTAGCTAATGTGGAATCTGATGCCAGTTAAAAGTAAAAAATTAGAGCCGAATTTTGAATGTTCTTATTTTATTACTTTAGCAGCATGAACTCTATTCTCTTGGTTTGCTATTGGACACCATTCATACTTACTGTCCTTCAGTCTATAGAAGCAAGCTGCTTCTGGGGTGTAATTATTAATACTTTATGTATGTTTTGAGATCCTGGATAACTGGCATAGGAGCAGCCTGAACTATGAAAGAAACAGCAATGAAGTTTCTTTCTTTCCCCAAAACACCTGTGTAAAAATTGTGTTAAAGTCAGAGTCATCCAGTTTTAGAGTCATCTGACAGCTTCCTCCTATCATGCACACATGAACATGCACACTTTCTTCTGCCACTGGAGAGGCTGAGGTGCAAAGGAGCTAACTAGTAATCTGTGAGGTTGGAGTTGATAGTGAATTCCCACTCTTGGCTGTGCTACTGCTGTAGTGCTGTTCTTGTAATATCAAGCACAAGAGACTACTAGAAATGTTTGTACCCCACATTTGGTGCTGGGTATTAAACCTAGGGCATAGTGCATGGTAAGTGCTCACTCTACCACTGAGCTACACTCTCACCTCTCGTTTTATATTGTGGATTAGCATCGTCTACCTAGAGGCTGGGGAGCTAGCTTGGTGGTCTAAGCGCCTGCCTGTCAGGTGCAAGGACCCATGTTTGATCTCCCGTACTGTGTGCCATGCCAGCCCCGTGCCAAGCTGGCCACCAAAACTGGATGTGATAGCACAGGCCTATAATCCCAGCGCTTGAGAGGCGGAGACAGGAGGATTACTATGAGTCTGAGCTGGGTAGTGAGACCCTGTACTAAATAAACAAATAAATAAATAAATAGTCTGCCAGTCTTATCCCTGTTGTTACACAGAAACATCAGTGACAGTGTACGTATATGAAAGAATATTTTCTTTGGTCACTACTACTTGGAAAGTGATTGTCGTAATTCCAATGTTTGGATTTTTAAATTTTATTGTTAAAATTTAGCCAAAATGTAGAAGAAGATGTGTCAAATAAGATGTCAAAGGATTTGCTTCGTGCTCCATCTTAGCCATGGTCTGCTCCAACCCCACGTGGTACTTTGCTGTACCTTGTAGTTTTTTTTTAACCTACTGACACATCTTAGTGTTTTCTGTTCATTCTTATTCTTTTTTTTTTTATTATTTATTTATTTATTTATTTATTTATTTAGTGTGTGGCCAGCTCAGCCCACCAGGGGGCGGGCGGGCTGGCATGTGGTGCTGGGGGATTGAACCGAGGTCCCTGTGCTTTGATTGGCTTAGCTTGTTCTAAGTAGGTGCTTTAGACCACTGAACCATCTCACCAGCCCCTCATTCTTATTCTTTTCAGTGTGTGGTTACTATGCATTCTGTGGCTATGTGATGATTTATCTCTTAGGGCCACTGGTTGTCGTACTTCACCTGCTGATGTTTGGTATTAAAGCAGTGCTGCAAGCAGTATCCTTGAACGAGTATCATGGTAAACTGGTGCACTTACTTGTGCAGTGAATTACTAGTCATCGAGTGTGGAGGGGTGTGGGTGTTTGTCTGAATAATTACTGTCAAACTGACCTGAGGAGGATTTTGCCAGTTCATAGTCTCACTGAAAGTATAGGAATGTAACGTACATGACTGATAGGAGAAAATGGTATTTACTTGTTCTTTTGTGTAGTTTTGTTAATTAGAAATACCCTTGAGTTGCTTGTATTTCTTTGTGTGTAAATTGCTTGTACCTGCCTTTCTCTGTTTTTCTTCTTGATGATTTTTTTTTTCCTGATTGCATGGAAAAGATTAAGACAATAACTGTACACATACGTATTTCAGATGTTTTGGGTCATTTATTCAGTGGGCTTTGTGGTATTTCTAGAAGGCAGTTTTTGAATATGTGATTTTGATTTTTAATTAGTAAATGAGTTTTGTAATTTAATAATTTTGCTAATTTCAAAATGACATAAGCAATTATACTTTGAGAAATCTTGCTGTCATCTACTTTTATCCAGTTCATGCTAAAGTAACCATATTTTTTTAGTTTCTAATGCATTCTTCCAGTATTTTGTCATTGCAGTTCAAGTAAATGTGAGTATCTATTCTTGTTTTCCTCCAACTCTTTAGCAAAAGGTTTTTTTTATATTATGTTACTTCTTTATTCCCCATCCTGGCTTTGTTTGCATGCTAACATATCTTGAAGACTGTCCTTCTCTGGTAGGGAACATGCTCTCCTTCATTTTAATCATTTTAATCATTATATTGTTGGAGTGCAAAGCTTTGTTTAGGTGATATTTCATATGGGTGCCGGAAGGGCATTTTCCCTTAGGGATTTCTGTGACAAAGGGTGAATGTAAATGGCATTATGTTTATTTGTGTTTTTACTTCTGGATATTTGTCACTTTCATAGGAAATGGTTTCAGAATGTAGTTTTAGTTTACATTTCTCTTACAGTGTAAGAGTAGTGATTGAATGTTTTTCATTTGTGTATCTGGTACTTATAGTTACTCTTTTTTCTTCTGTTTCTGCTATAACTTTTATATTTAAATCTTGGTTGATAAGGAGTTTATCCTGGATTAGTAGAATATATGGACCCAAATATATCTTTTTCCAACATCGTGTTAGAAAGCTGATCTGAACCAGACATGATGATATGTACCTAAAATCCTAGCTACTTGGGAGTCTGATGCAGGAGGATCACAAGTTCAAGGTCAGCCTAGGCAGAAGGCTGGCGATGTAGCTTGGTGGTGGAGTGCATGTGTAGCATGTATAATATCTTGGGTTTGATCCCCATTACCACAGTTGGTCAGTCAGGCCCATCTTTACCTTGTTGGTTGGAGGTGCTACCTGGATAAGCTTGCAGATGTAAACTTGTTTTGTGTTTGGGTCTGGTTTTGGACTTTGTGCTCTGCTTCAGCTGTTCTGTCATCTGTGTGCCAGTCGTCCAGTTAGTCAATCTCATCTTTTCAGGTTTTACGTGACAGTGGAGAGGTGAAGTAAACTTACCTCACTCCACTCTGAGGTTAGGTAAACTCCACAGCGCTTCTACAGGTTCAGTGTTTACTTTGAAATCTGTGGTTTGTGTCAAGTTCACTTTGGTGTTAAAGGTCGTTGCTCTTAGAGAGCTCTCTTATCTTGCTCTTCTCTCCTGCTTGGCTTGTGTTTCCACTCTGATCTGGTTGTTACTATTTCTGTGATAGACACATTCCCATTTTTCCCCAGACCTCAGGTGGCATTGTCTTTGGTTTCACTTCAGTTTAGCAGATTGACACTATGGTATTTATACCAACATATTCATGAATAGCTAATTCTGGGCAAAGACAGATTCAAAATGAAATGCACATTTCTTTTTATTGCTCCTTTCCAGGAGCAGCAAACTGGCACTTCTTAGGCAAAAACATGGCAAGGAGAAATGCACCTTGTTGGGTCTGCTGTATAAATTTTGTGACTGTGCCCCACAGAAAAGAAGAGTAAGATCATAAAATGAGTTAATGAACTCTAGTACACTGGTTGTGCCAGAGTGAAGCTCTGTAGCCATCAGTATCCCTGGGTGGTCTATGCCACGTTCTCCATAGGACTCTTACTCAGAAGGGGGGATGGAGACTGCTTTAGGAGAAAGTCAGGCATCCCGTGTCCTTCTCTGCCTCCTTGCTCTGTAGGAGCTCTGTACCCACACCTGGGGTGTTGAGAGTTGGCAAGGTGATCCACAGTTGTGATTTTTTGAATTCCAACCCACTGGCCTCATATTTCTTCTGCCTTGTTTCCGATTGTCAGCACTGGCCATCCTCCAGTTTGATTTTACCACTAATTGTGTTGCACGTTACCATACCGAAATGAATCAAATCAAAATGCTTTTCCTGGAGCATTAGATAAAGCAGGCAAAGGTTCTGAGTAATGAGCAGATGCTGCTAATGCAGGGACAGCGGAGACCTTGCCAGGACTCCATCTGCTCCATGCTTGCCTGCCTTTGGCCTCGAGCCACGGCATTAGGGAATGGCAGCGTGCTGCAAACCTGCTCCCTGTTCAGCTTGTCTTGAAAACTCACTCTCTGGTGAAAAATGGGATTATACACTTCTTAGGTGCAAAGAAGTTCTCGTTTGTCTGCTTAAGTGGGGAGAGGAGAGATGAGGCCCAGTGAGTATTAGCACCTGTGACCTCGCTGGGCAGCCAACAGCCCC